AGCCTGGATCCATATTTATTTCTGATTCTATTCATCTATTCAGCAGGTTGAGCCAAACATCCTCTAAATGTGCAGGCTCATCTTTGAGCACGCCATTTCACTTTTCTTTCACCAGTTCACCTCAGTTCTTCCAGCAGTCCACACTTTTTCTGCTCTCTTCTTCTCATCATCTTCTCCTTTTTTCCCATCGCCCGGCTTGCCACAGGTTTGCCTGCTTAGTGATGGTGGTGTTGGTCCAGTGGACTTTATTAAATCTAAAATCAACGCTGAGCAACCTAGCACCAACTCCATGAATCCCTCCGTCGACAGCCTTTATGGAAATGCTGTTTTAAATTTTCCAACAAGACTCGGCACCTGCCCTCACTTCAAACACCAGCCTTAATCATCATAGAAAAAATAGGTCAAGAGGAAAATAAAGATCCAGCTTAAAACAACAGAAAAACTTAAGTCCACTTGGCTGCCTCCATACAAAGTTTTTAAAGGATTAAATTACTAAGAGAAATACACTTTTTAATGATATTATATTATAATGTGATATAAAAATCCCATTAATCCTGATCCAATCCATCTTTTTACATGTGGACTATTAATTTGTTCAGTTTGATGTTGGCTGTTTGATGTTTTCCAGTATTAGTTGTCCACTATGATTGACGGGTGTCAATCATAGTGGACACCCGTGTTGACCTCCTGCTGCGTGTGTATTTACCCTCGCCCATCCTCCAGGCTGCCTGTGAACTGAGCAAAGTTGGTTTCCAGCCGTAAACTTCGAGGGGAGGACGGAGGGGATGTCTCGCACTTGATGGTCGCTTTGTCCACTTCCACAGGAGACTGAAAAAGTGAGGTAACCCAGCTCAGCTTGCTTATGAAAGACACTGAAAATACATAACTTTAGCTGCATTTGCAAACTTACAGCCACTTTCCTTCTGTGCTTCCTTAAGTCACTTGGCTAGTGGAAGGAAAACACATTGTCAGAAGATGTCTATGTGTATTGATGGCTGTGTTTCATAGTGTAAGTTTCCCTCTGACCAGAGTCATGATTCCTAGATGGTGGCTGGCATTGCGTCCATGATGCTTAGGCGTGGAGTGGCCGCTGTTGGGTGGGGAGGAGGATGATGCCAGGGACTGGGCGGTGGCGGAGGTGGGCAGAGCTCGCGGTCTCAGGGTCACGTTGAGGCCGTCCATGCTGCCGCTGTTCACACGGGACTCGATCTCCTCAGAGCGCAGCTCAGCGGATTCTCTCTCTACCTGGATCATCCTGTTTGCACAACACAAACACGCACACACACATACCGTTACTGAGCACCGATTTTTCTTGGTTTCAAATTTGAATGGTTCTTTTTGCCTTTATGTAAATTATTCATAAGAAAAATGTGCTGAGAGGGAAATGAGGGGGGATGCAGCAAAGGCCAGAAATCAAACCCCAGGTTTTTGATCAAGGGACCATCTCTTTTAGCAACCCCCCTAAAAAGTGAGTATTATTTGATAACATCGATCTGCTGCTGATACTGAATCTATACTCCTTCAACTCTTTTCTGTTTAACTTTAATGTATTCTATTGGAGTTTTATGGGCTAGAGCAGGGGTTTGCAACCTGTGGCTGTGGTACTGTACAACAAGTGGCTCTTTGGACCTTCCTAAGTGGCTCTTAATGACTTTGCCTCAAAATGATACAGAGTAATTAGTGTTTTTAATATATATATTTTTTTTAAATACTGTAGTTTTTAAACAGTTTTACAAAATGTTTTTCATTGTTAACTGCTCTGAATTTCTGCAGGAAACTGACCCTAAAGTACGGTGGCTGAGAAGTGCAAAACACATTTACAATTCAAAAACACATAAACAAATAAAAAACAAAATAACATTTGAAGAAACAAAATTATATTTTATGAAACAAATGTATTTTTGAAAAAAAAGTTAAAATTTTTAAAAACAAATTTACATTTTAGCAAACAATTTTACATTTTAGGAAACAAATTCACATTTTAAATAAGTTATATTTTATGTGAGAGAAAGTTTCATTTTAGAGAAAAAAAATACATTATAGGGAAATAAATTTACATCTAAAAAAAAATTGACCGTTTGGAAACACTTGTACAAGTGCAAAGACAAAACTGCAAGCGGCAAAACACAGTTACATAGCCAAAAACAAATAAACAAAAGACGGCTACACGGAAAGGGAATGTCCCAGTGGCCGAATGTGACGTCACAATTACCCTGACTTGTAGTACAAACAGCTCAATCTGTAGTCCTCCTGCTTCACGTGAAAAGTCAGCGGCGTCTTTCCGAACTGTCATTTTTTTTTAGATGTAAATTTGTTTCCCTATAATGTATTTTTTTTCTCTAAAATGAAACTTTCTCTCACCTCACCTAAAATCTAACTTATTTAAAATGTGAATTTGTTTCCTAAAATGTAAATTTTTTTGCTAAAATGTAAATTTGTTTTTAAAAATTTTAACTTTTTTTTTCAAAAATACATTTGTTTCAAAAATATAATTTTGTTTCTTCAAATGTTATTTTGTTTTTAATTTGTTAATGTGTTTTTGAATTGTAAATGTGTTTTGCACTTCTCAGCCACCGTACTAAAGGGACCAGTGGTACTGTAGCTACAGCATTTAGGAGGGATGCACCAATTGCAGATTTCTGCCTGGCTTTATTTTCACAAAAAATATAGTCAGATTAGTCCTGTTTCTCTGACTGTGACTTGCTGGATGTGCTCTCTTCATCCTCTGACATAGGAGCTGGCTCAGAGCTTGTCTGCCTGGCTGTGTGTTTCCTGGACCGGGCCGCCTTTTACAGCTGCTTTTTGTATCTCTGCTTCTGTCTCCTTTAATCCCAGTCGGCCTCAGCAGATGAACGCTCACACTGAGCCTGGTTCTGCTGGAGATTTCTTTTTCTGTTAAAAGGGAGTTTTTCCTCTCCACTGTCGCTACAAGCATGCTTAGTGTGAGGGATGAAATTAACTGGTTTTCCTTAGATAGAAAACTTTGAATCAATTTGACTGCATTTTGTGGTGAACTGTAAAGTGCCTTGAGGTGACGTGTTGTGAATTGGCGCTATATAAATAAACTGAATTGAAAACTTCGAACCAGTCTGACTGTATGATATGATTGAATTTTCTCGGTAAAGAGCCTTAAGATGACATGTTTTTTTTTTTATTTGTGCTATATGAATAACTGAATTGAAAAAGAGGTGTTTCACTCTTATTTTATTCAAAAGGAATTAACAATAATAAACAAGATGTTTTATCAGCAAAAGTTAATACTTTCAGATATGAAAAGTTCAGAGTACTGTGAGTAGCCGTTTTTCAGGCCTTTATACAGATTTCTAGTTGAGAGCAGTTTGACATCAAAGTATTGGCTCATCCCTGTGTTTTAGTTTCATTTCTCTTGTCATTAGATCGGACAAAATGTCCTTTGTTAAACCACTCTACAAAAATATCAATGTCCCATTAAAAATGTTATCCCTTTTGTTTGCCCCCCAGTGTTGTTTAAACATAAAAATAAATAAAAATGGTTCTTTAAAAAATGAAAAGATATTTATCAACACAAGGATATCCTAACATTCATATGACATTTCTGGACTGAGGGCAAAAATTGCCCTTGATGATAAAGGTTGAAGATTGCTGGGATGAACTAACTGGAAATAGGAAATAATTTTGAGGTGGTAGGAAAATAACACATTTTTAAGGAATGGGATTATAAAAAAAAGTTTCAGAAAATGTATTCAAATAACAGCTCTACAATAAATACAGAACAGCAAGGTGTCAAATTTGAAAGTAAATATAATCCAACATAATAGAGTTCTTATTTGTGGGGGTGGACTGAGGAGGGAACAGTACGTAATGATGGGTGCATGTTTTAATGAATAGAAGATAAACTTGAACAAGGAGGGAAACCAGTCTGAGAGCAATAGGGAATATAAATTAGAACATTGTTTCCTTGTTTAAAGAAGATAAAGTAAGACAATCTAAATTAGATTTGATTGTGTATAATTACGTCAAAACAACCCAATAAAGTTATTTCAAAATATATAATATCTGTTTATCTTATTTTAGGGAAAAATAATCAATACATTGCCAGATCATCCTATTTATCTGGTCCAAATAAGGTAAAATACACTTAGTTTTAGGAATATTTAACTATTTTTAGATTAGTTATGTAGAGTAAATAGAGGAGAAGACAATAAGTAAACAGAAAAACCACTGAGTTAAAACAACAAAGATGAACAGAAGAAACTTGAGTGCACTTAACAGAGGCATTGGCAATTTGGCAGATGTTATTTGTGACAAAACAAGTATGTAACTACTGTAAAAATGCTCAGAGACATGTTTTGATTACAGAACAAGTCCATGGAGGAGCTCCACCAATTCACAGCTTAGGTGTGAAAACCTGTCAGAAGGTTAATTATCGAACCTGTACTTTAGAAATCTGGCCCTCATTGAGCAGTGAAAAAAAAAAAGAAAGAAAGTATAAAAAGCAAATCCTCATATCCACTGTTGCAGTTTGTGACAAGCAGCAAGGGAGACAGCAAAGATTTAGATATTATGATTATAAGAAAAAGATAACTGTCAATAAACATGTATACATGGGTGTCTAAATGTAAGCCAATATATGTAATTAATACCTGTAAACTTCTGATTCCCTTTTCTCCCATTTTCCTCTCTGCAAGCTTTTACTTTATTGGACTCCTTTGCAACAGCAGCTCTTATATATTTTTTGCATTGTAACATTTTCTCCACTTGCATTATATTGAGTTAACAGCCTAATTCTTCCCACCTTATCTCCTCATTGATGGCATCAAGCTGCTCCTGCAGCATGAGAGCAAGAGTCTGAGCGTCTGATTGGCCGCTAGGTGAGAGCAGCGTCGAGCTCACGTCGTCGTCCATGTCCGACTCTGCCTCGATGTCACTGCCGAGGAGGTGGCTGATGCTCCCGCGTAGAGACGGGTAATCCTGCTCAAACATGGCACACACCTAACACATGCGTGGGTGAAGATAAGCGTGGACAAAGCAAATCAAGATTAATGAGATGTGTGGCGGGAAGAAAAAAACGCCTCAAGAATTAATTTCATGGATTTAATTAAGAGTACAAGCACACATCTAAAAGTGCAATCTGTCTTTTGTGGAGCTGTTGAACTGGTTACGAGAAGAGATGGATGAACAAGGAACTTACATCACACATCATGTCCAGCAGCAGGTGAGAGAGAGAGACAGGAAGTTAGTAGAAAGCAGGAAGTTAGGCATGGATAGACGGAGCCAAGCACTGACACTTACTGGCAAAGCAGACATGAACCCAAATTAGGCACTGGCAAAAGCTAAATGTGGTTAGAGGAGTCGTTAAAGTGGGATCCTGTCTGTGTGTTCTCATTAGTATGTATGCATGGGAACTGGAAGAGTTTTAGGAAACAAGGGTCACCTTGTTTGGATCGTCTCGTAGAGCCGACAGTCGGCCCTTCTGCGCCCGCCGGATCACAGTTGTGCTGTAGTGGCCGTCCTGACCCTCCACCACAGAGAAGCGGAGGTCGCTGGCGCTTCCCAAGTGAGACCTGCGACCATCACATGAGACACAGACTGTCCATGTAAAAGGCAGCGGGAAGTAAAAGCCTGTATGAGGATGATTACGGGTACCGAGGATGAGTTCCATCTCCAAACGCTCCACTGCGGCGTTTCAGATGGTCAATCTCGTTTCTCAGCTTGTCAATCTCTCCAATCAGCCGTTCCTATAGAAGGAAGCGCCATCTTAAAAAAAAAACCCCAAAACAAACCAAAACCCACGATCTGGAAGACAACAGTTACTGAAACTATTGCAGCGTTTGTTATCTCTGTTCCAGTAGACTATGAGAGAAGCTAAAAAATCTCAGTGAGCAAGAAAACTAAACTTTCTAATGTTAGATAAAATATTTCTTAGAGTTATAAATGAGACATTTTTCGAATAACCTTGCCCTGGAAAGGTTTTCAGAATAATCAAGGTTAAATATAAAATTCTATTCCATTTCTAAAATGGTTTTATTAGATAGAAAAAAAACAAAGTAACATGTAAAGGTGGAAGAAAGAAAAGGACAAAAAAGAAGTTTAAAAAAAAATCTAAACTCTTAAAGGAACACCATCTTCTAAGTTCTGTACATCCTTCATGACTCAAGACAAAACTCTCTAAATAATTAAATTGAAAAAAAAAATTCCATACACTTCATAACTCTGAAATTATCATATGTCACAGTAAAATGTATTGATGTAACTTGAAAAAAATCAACAATAAAGACTGATGTATGCACATAAAAAAGCTGTGTCATTTAACATTAGTTTATTCATATGTATAAACAGTTACTATTATCACATTTTTGTTCTTAAAATAGGTAAATTTTTCTTCAGCTGAGCAGGAAATTGAAACCCTTTGCCGAGATAGTTTAAAACAAAAATCTGCAGTCTCTTATTTCAGGTGTATAATATATAATTATCTTACTTCTAGGGTAAAAATGCTCATTCCGTTGCCAGATCATCTTATTTTCCTACTCAAATTAAGGGTAAATAAACTTATTTTAAGACATTTTTTACTAATTTTCAGAAATCTTTTGCATATTTAAGGTGAATTAATTCCCCTGTTTTAGAGCACAGTTTGATACATTTGAGTTGTAAGACCAGAAATTATTCTTCTATTATTGATGATTTGGTGCCGTTTACTGACCCTGGTGTGGTGGAACTCCTCCAGCTGTTTCTGGCAGTTCTCTAGGTCCTGAATGAGAGCATTCTGGAAAGACGAAGTACAAATCACTTTATAACGATGTCAAATAGTTAGAATATTGGTGCATCAAAAATTAGTGCTGTGTAACGTTTAACAACTATGGGGCGCTAGACCCATAGCTTCCAAATTTAGCTCCCCAGAAACCAACTATAAAATTTAACAGCTTCCCTTTGTGTTCTGGTTCTGACAGCAGAACACTTTGGACCAACAGCCTGAGAAGTCATGGCATCACTGGTAAAATGTAGAGATTATTCACCCCCGAGGCTGCAGTGAAGCGGCGCTCTGAGTCACATGATCCAACCCTCTTGAGCTACATAGGCAAGTTTTTTAAAGGGCAGCCTGAATGAAGCAACTATTAAATTAAGAGAAACAGGAAGAAACGTTTCCAGCTCATGAGAACCCAGGATGTTGTACCTCAGGAGAACCAACTAATATATAGCAATAGAATAAAAATATTTGGTAGTGCAGACATGTATTTTGGCAATGTTAAAGTTTTCACTGTGACTAACTGGAGCACTCCTTTTTAACATAAAACTGTCTTAGAGCTTATCTGGTTAATAGTTTCTTTCCTAGACAGAGGCCCTTGTAGAGCTAGTTTACTGTTACACTTGCTAACATAGAAAATGTTTATAGATCAGTGCTTTTATGTTCCTTTTTTATGTCTGCATGGCTGCTCACACCGAGCCTGGCTCTGCAGGAGGTTTCTTCCTGTTAAAAATAGTTTTTCCTCTCCATTGTTGCTGCATGCTTTCTTGGTGTGAGGAATTGCTGTAGAGTCAATGACTCAGTCAAATGACAGAATGCAATCAGCTGGTTTTCCTTAGACAGAAACCTTTAACCAATCTTTAACCTTTAACCAATCTGTTCATATGATCTGATTGATCACTAGCAAGAGAACTTGGACCACTACGTCTGTTACTGTCTGCTACTGTCTGTTACTACTGTCTGCTCTGGTGGCATTGTATAGGCAGGGAGGGGCTAAGGTCAGAGTAGCAGCTAGCCACATGGGCGTGCATGCACGGCTTGTAAACAAGAGACTGGAGAACAGTACAGATGGTATTTGACACCAACACCATTATCCATCCAAAAAAGTTATCTTCCTTCTTCCCATTACTGTTCTATTTCTTCCTAGTTAAAATATGAATTACTACATATTGCTCATTTAAGTTTAACTGCTTATTTTATTTTATAATAGAGTTCAAAGGTAGAACCAAAACATAATTTTTTATTTCAAAAATATCCCCCTAAATGGGTAAAATTCATACCCAGTGCCAGGGGGAGATTTACCATTAGGGCAATACTAGGCAGTTGCCTAGGGCCTCAAGTTCCTGGGGGCCCCATGCAACTCTGTTTACATGTGTGGTTAATACAAGTGTTCCTTATTTTTGTACATTAAATATGTTTTTGATAAAAACTCCTTTCGCTAAAATTCCATCAGAACACTTATAGTATTAAGTGTGTCTCAGGCCCCTCCCCCTTCAGTGTCCACCATATTGGATCAGTCCATTTATGCCCCCCTCAGTGTCCACCATATTGGATCAGTCCATTTGCTGCACATGTTCAGAAAGGTCCAAACAGACAGCAGCAAACCATTTGAAAACAAAACGGAGCAGTTTTGGCAACTTAGCACATTTGTCACTAGATTTAGTGACTTTTCAGACCCCTCTAGCACTTTGATTTCTAAAAAGCTCCTAGCGCCAAATCTAGAGACTTTTTTCTGCTACTGGAGACTTTGGAGACAACATCTAAAAGCAGCGAACTCTGCTCTCAAGAGCGAGTAGATTGGTATCCCCGCCTCCTGCTCTCCTCTATCTTGTCTGCTGTCATGATTCATGCAGCTATTATTTAATACAAATGAAAAGTGGAGAACAGAGAAGCAGATCAGGGCTTGGAAAAAATCTTTCATTCCTTTTGAGACAGCATGAAAATTCAGCTGGATACAAAACATAGAGAGGAAAACAACAAGAAAAAGGACAAGAAGAGAGGGACAAAATGTAGAACAAATAATATATGCCTATTCTAATACATTTTTTGAATCTCTATAATGGGTCTGTTTTATGTTTTGACTTCTCAATTCAGAGGGTCCCCTGCCTGTTTTTTTACTTAGGGCCTCACATTTCCTAAATCCACCCCTGCCCAGTGCATACAGCGCCTGCTTTTTGACTTTATTAATCTTATGAACTTAAAAAAGCTGCCGCATAGATGCATCACCTTGTCCTCCAGGGCGGCCATGCGCTCCTTCAGATGGAGCTGCAAACGTTCATTGGACTCCGTCAGCAGACGGTCCACGGTATCAGACAAACGCTTGTTGTGCTCCTCGTTCATCTTCTCCCTCTGACGAGCCTGACGAGCAAGACAGGGAGAACCGAAGGGAAAAATACAAATCTTTGTCACATTTGTCTCATGATGCAGACTCTATGTGGGCGTATTCATGTAGCTAATTAAGCATTTCTACATGGATTAAAGGGATAAAGCAAGAATTGAGCTCTAGATCACCAGCTGCCAGATATAGGTCTTCTTGGCCAGCCAGGATGATTTAATTACCATCATTAACTTGATGATGAAAAACGGTTAAACAGCTCCTATTAAATGGGAAACACTGTGCTTAATATGTTTTCTACAGTAATTGTATTAAAGAACATTTATCACAGGCACATAAGCACACATCTGCACAATCAAAGAGCTCTTTCTACTAAATATAGTCATGAGATCGCAGAGAGAGAGAAAGGGGCAGAGAAATTAGCTGGGACTGAATTATTCAGAGTCTAAAGATAGCATCCAATCAGTCCTGAAGCGGGGGAGGGCATAGAGATTTGTACAATTTGGTTTGAATTCATGCAACAATGCACTGGGGAAAATGACAAACTCTTGTTGAGGGTGTGAGCGTACGTGTATGCATGAGTGAGCACACAGCCAAAAGTCAGGGCGTCCGACCAGCATGGAGCGTCGGCCCAATCATATTGGCATCATTAGGAGAGGTCAAAGTAACGCTGCCGGGGTGATGCACGCAAACACACACACACAGTCATGGACACACACACACTTACGGCTGAAACACAAACACAAACAGACACACATACTCTGGCAAGCTCTTGGTTTTTCTCCTCCAGTTGGGACTCCAGCTGTCGAAGCCTCTCCTCCACATTTCCATGCCGCTCCTCAGCCTGCAGGGGGAGACATGTTCATACACTGTGGTTATATATACTTCTCTAGAAGGCAGGTTTTACATGCTGACATGCATCCTTTTTCTAAATGACTGTGATAGAATCAAACTTTGGAAAAGTTGATCCAATACCTTGGTTAGTGCTGCAACTCTCTGAGCCAGTTCAGCTTCGACCTCTGGCAGAGTCTCAGCCTTCCTCATGGTCTGAGCCAAACGCTGCTCTGCCATCTCCAGCATCTCTTGCAGCTGACGCACCTTCTCCTCACTCTGACACAACCCAACATTTCCAGATGAAAACAGAGGGGCATTAATACAACAGAATGAGGAGTTTAACTGCTGTAGCTTAGCCTGGAAATATCCAGACAACATGGAGGGCCTCGCCTGATGCTGCACTGGGTTATACGAATATTACTTCTAACTCCTGGGCTTTTCATTTCTTAATGATTCAAACTAATAGATCAAAATTAAATGGGGAAAAGTAGCATTGTTTTAAATTTCTTAGAAATTAAAATATTAAATTTACATTAATCTCCACCAGTAAACATAATCATTAAAACCACCTTTCTGCTGCTCTTTCTGCAGCAAGTCTGTCTTTATATGCTTTCCTGATTTGAAAAGAAAAATCTGCATGTGTGGAAATGTATTTTCAATTCTTGCCACATATTCTCAAAGGTATTCAGGTCTGAAATTTGACTGCACCTTCCCAACATGAGAAAGTGTATAGCCAAACACTTCATGTTTCTTAGATGAGTGTCTGCTGCAGACAGCCTGAATCAAATAGTAGGTTATATACTGGGTTGTGCAGAAATTTACTGCATGCTGAGGATATAATTCAGCTTTTTTTTTTAAATTTTTATCAGCATTGCAGCAGGTATCCAGTTAAATGTTGCGGGGCTACCTCACGTCTGGTTTGTTTTGGGTTATTGTCCCGCTGGAAGGTGAAAATGCCTAACAGTTGCATTTTTCTTCATCCACTTTCCCCTCAAGTTTGAACTGGTTTCCTGTCCCTGCTAATGGAAAATATCCCCACAGCATGATGCTACCTCTGTCATATTTTACTGAGAGGATGGGGTATTGATGGTGATGGTGATTGATGTTTTACATTACAATTTTTTTTTTTGCTGTAAACATCTTCAAAACATTATCTCTGGATTGCATTGTTGCTGGAATGTAATTAGTTAAAATTGATTTTACTAAGCGGTACTAAGCATAAATGCAACATTTTTTCTATATGTACTTAACATATCACATAAAATCCCCTAAATGTACATCAAAGTTTGCAGTTAAAAGATAAGATAATAAATGTTTTACAAAGTTATTTGAAAGTAGAGCTTTATCTAGTTAAATTGTGATGCAGCAGGAGGGTCACCTGTCTGTGCAGCGAATCTTTGGTGGCCAGTTCATTCTCCAGTTTGTCATTGAGGTCGTGGATGTGGGTGGTCTCTCGCTGGGCAGCCAGGTAGCGTTTCTCCAAAGTTGTGATTCTTTCCTCCAAATCCTCTCTCTTAACAAGCACAAATAACAGAAAAATATAAATAATAAGAAGTAATTCATCAAAGAATAAATTATTCATGATATATTTATTAGACATCAGTAAGATAGACTTTTAAATTATGGTTAACCTGAAATTAAAATTTTTTTTTTTTCTTTTTATAGCTATTGTTTAGTGCTTTCTTCATTGCCTTAAATTACCATTATTTTGAATTACATCAAATAATTAAGTAAACATTACAACAGCTATATCAAAAACACCAAATAAGACAAAAATAAAGCAAAGAATTTTTAATCTGTTCTGTCATCCTTCTAATTCTCATACACAGCTGTAGTCTTTCAGCAGATGGATTGTTAAAGCCTTCATCCTCCAAACCTTCACAATCAAATTTTAGAAAAAAAAAAAACAAACTTCTAAACCTCAAAAATCTACTTTATTTGTCTCGAAATAATTTTATAATAAACAGGACCTATAGGGACCAAAACAGTGATGTTTGTAAATATTTCTTTCTGTTAATAAATAAATACAGCAAATTACATAATGATTCATGGTTTCAAAAAAGTGAAAACCTGCTACTTTTTTTGCAATGTGCTAAGATCTGTTAAAGTCATTGACTGTAATACCAAAACAACCCTAATATAGTCTCATTCAGGATTTAATTGGAATTACATGTATGTTCAAATACTTTTACAAACAGGTCACATAAAAATAATAATAATAAACAAATAAAGACATTATTTTCTAACGCTAAATAATAAGAGGGAGCATTTTGTGAAAAAAAAAAAAAAACCCTGGTAAAGGAGTATAGAAATCTTTACAGTTAACTTATCTTTGAATGCATGTTTTTTTTTATGCCATTACTTTTTGTTTTCTGATATGCATCATATCACAAATGTTTTCATTACTGGCCTCTCAACAAGAAACAGCAGCAGAGAGGCGTCTTGCTGTGACCTTAAGAACCATCTACCATATATATACCAACTGATTATCTGGGAGGGATGCCCGGAAACTTTGTTTTTTCTCCCACAGTCGCAAAGTTAAGTGTGTGGAGAACTTTGACTCAGAGTTTTACTCTGATGAAACTAGAGTTGATATTTTATGGGACAATATAACCCAATTTGGTAGGCTTAACAAAAAAATGAATAATAATAATATAAGGAAAGCACCTTATGCATACCATTAGGTATGGTAAAAGATCTGTGATGCTGTGGGCAGTAATTCTTGAAGGCCATAGATCCTGGATTAAATTGGAGATTTGAAATACAGCATGCTGTGGATTCTGCCAGTAAACCAGAAATGGGCTTTTATTTCATAATCGTTTCTTATCTGATGAAATATTTAACTCTACAAACAAATGTCCCTCGAATAAAAGGTCAGATTTCTCTGTGAGTTTTGACTTTTCACGCATCTTTGCAAAGGTGCCGACAAATCTGTCAGTTTCTGTACATCTGCCTCCCGATTCTCTCATCATTCAATCTCACCTCCCTCTGCTCCCTCTGTTGTTTGATTGACAGCTCCTCGCTACGGCTCAGTTCTCGACGGGCATTGGCTAGCTCCGCCTCAAGCTCCGCCATACGGGCGTTTAGAGAAGATGCATGCTCTCGACTCTGAGCCAGCTCCTTATTGGTCCGATCCAGTAGCTCCTGAAGCTCAGACACCCGGCCGCCGTCATCGTGGGCGTCTATAGAGCCGTTTGGAAGTCTCTGCAAAGGGAGACACATAAAAAAATGAAGAGGCGCCCATCTGCCCATTCCTGCATGAATGATACCACAGGGCTGAGTCATAGAGGTGGATTTGAGCAACTCACATTTAAAAAAAGTGTGGAGATGTTCGCATTTAGACTAAAATTAAGAGAGGTAAGGCTCTCATGATGTTTGTTTAGATGTTGTTTCTCTATTCTCTACACAGCTGAAAGTGCTGTTATTTCCAGAATCTTAATTAAACAAACCTTTAGGGACACATTCTGACAGGAACACAGTGGGCAGCAGCAAAGCTATTCTAAGGCCCCCCTCTGTTTCCAAATGTTCCCATTTAGCTTTCTAATGAATACCTTTCAAAAGCACATATACATAGACACTAATACTGAGTAATAGAACACACCTGGTGAGCTGTGCAGCTGAATATAATTAATAATTATCAGCATAACTCAGATTACTTAAACTCAGTCCCAGTGGCTGCAGCAAATATCATTTCCTATAATTCCCTGTGATATTACATAAGTATATGAGTAAATATGACTTTAATCGAAGCCATGGAATGTATATAAGCATCTCCAGATGAGATTGGAGTCCAAAAAATAATACATTACTTCATACATGCAGCTGAGAGCCACAATAAACATCTTAACCAAATGCTGAGGGCAGACCTGATGGGCAGAAAAAAAAATCCTATATAACTATATTTATAAATGACTTACATCAATATTTATGTATAAAATATGTCTTTCGAAAAGATTTAAGGTTCTTATTAAAAAATTAAACAGTAAAATAAACCCATGTATAAGTTGGTAAAAAGGCCAAATCACTTGGTAATCAAAAAGATGCATTTAGTTTAGATATGAATTAGTGGGAAACTAATGCCTAAGGCTAAGAGACTGCAGGGTGCAGCACAATAACCCAAAAGACCTTCCATGTAGGCTTGGATCCATCTGTTCGCTCTCCTGAATCACCATCCTTCCTCTGCCTTGCTGCGTTTAACTGCAAAGGAGATAAAATGTGGGGAAAAAATAACAAATCAAAACTTTGTTTTTTCTGAAAAAAAACAAAGCACTGCTCAAGGACACAAACCACTGTCTTAAAACCCATCAAATATGAACCATACTCTGGAGAAAGGAGACTTCCTCTTTGGTTAAAGTAAATTCCGTTTTTCTTAGCAAATGTTAACTTTATTTCTCATTAACTTCCTACTAGGACAACACTGTAACTGAGTCTGTCAAAAAAAAAAATAAAATCCTCTGCCTTTGGTAAGTGTGAATGCAAATGATCTCAGACTTTAAATCCTGCGAAGTGTTTTTACCTCCTGGGTGGTAGATGCTAGTTGCCCCTCCAGGGTTGCCACCCTCTCTAGAGCCACCCGCAGCCTCTCTCGTACCTGATAAATACACCGAAACAACACAGAATAAAGGTCAATATTGGTGGTTTGCAAAATTATTTATCCTTTTTGAGATTTTATATAAAATGCCAATGATAATTTCAAATATATCTTCTATTTTTTATATATATATATTTTTTACAGTGTCCTGTCTGGCAATGTGGCAAAAAGAATACTTGTCTTGATGCCAAAAAGAGCCCAACAGATTTTACACATTTTCCACTTTCACAAGTGGAGCAGTGCAGCTATCGTCTTAGTGTTTTGGTTGATTTTCAAAAATATCTTCAAATAAAAAAAAAAAAAAACATAAGTAGGACACACATTTTTTGCCACTCTTACTATGAGGCCCACAAATAAGGAGCAGTAGGATAATTGTCTTAAGAAATCATTTAAATTGAGTCAACCTGTTTGTTATTTGACCTTTGTACACATGCAGATACATGAAGCTTTCAGAGTACTCTACAATATTCCACGACAAGAAACCAGCAAAGAAGGTTATTTTGGTTAAATAAGAGCAAAAAATAATATTGTTTTCCCATATGTTAAATTTTGTGGCAGAAATACAACCCCACGAAAAAACAAAATCGATTTGTTAAAAAATGGTGGTGGGTAGACTGCAAAAATCTAAATCTAGATAAGTCATTTTTTCTTGTTCTTGAAGTGAGGAGGTCATTTTGCTAAGGAACAAGACAATTTAGATTTAAAATAAGAAAAATTACAATGCACAAGAAATTACAATTTCAAGTGCATGTTATCTAATTATCTTATTTTAAGAGTAAAAATACTCATTCCATTGTCAAATTATCTCATTTACCTATTAAAACCAAGGGTAAATACACTTAATTTAAGACATTTTTTTCTACTTATTTCCAGATCGTTTTCTATTCAGTAGTTCCATGGAAGCTTCTTACTGTTCAAAAGAAAATGGATGGATATAAACACAGAGAAATGGAGAAAAACCCGTTAAAGTCTGAAAAACACTTTGGAAAAGGGTAGGTTCACCTTTGAGCAAAAAAACAAGAGAGAACATACAGCCAACAATGGAGCGCTCTATTTAAAACATATTCATGTCAGGCTTTCCACTACGGTAATTGATTGTAGGGTGCCGATATAGCAAAAAGCTACCCCCCCTTCTGAATGTATAAAAGAATATGTTAAACAATGCAACAATGCAAAGTATATAACATGACATTATATACATTTATTTATTTAATATTTATTATAATAATAATCCAACTTTCTAATTAATTTAAAGATCATGGATTGTTAAAATTTACTTTATTTTGAAAAACCAAAATTTCTCCTGTCTGCCTTCCATTAAAGCTGGCTGGCATTTGAAGCTAACTGGTTGCTACGGTGCGTACCCCTGCTCCTAATAGTGAGGTCCTATGTTGCCAGCTTAGTGACTTTATTGCTATGTTTGCAGACTTTTCAGACTCCCCTAGAAATTTATTTCTTTTTTAAAGTAGGTTTTAGTGTATTTAATTACTTTCTGTGAAAGCAGCAGTCCTTCTACCATTAATGTCTCATGACAGCAGAAAGCTGCTTTAAGTCTTTCCCCATTTCCCTAAGCAGTGTCTCACAGGAACAGGCAACTGTGGCAGGCCGTTTTGACATTTATCAGAAGCACTGTTCTCTCTATTGTTCCATTTGTTGATCTCTAAAATAAGATTCTTCCAAGTCAAATATACATTCCTACTAGCCAGAACTCTGAAATATATATTCAGTCAAGCTAATAAATGTCAAAACGGCCTGCCATAGGGAGCTGCCTCCTTCCAAATGCTCCACTTGCAGTCTGAGCAAACGAAGACCTTCTCCGTTACGTATACCACATCTGGAAAGATACAAATGGATTAGAAAAGCAGGATTTAAATATCACGTTGGTCATACTTTGGTCACTTTTTTTTCTTACGTAAATAACTAAAAAATAATGACCTGATTACCATTTGGTTGGTAATGTGCCTCTGATTACTGCCTTTTTTGTAAAATTAGATATGTGCAGTACAGTTTCAGGCAATGGAAAAAAATATATAAAAAGCGAGGTTAAGGTATGTTGCACTTCAGCGACATTTTAACAACCGTGATGTGATTAATGAGTATAGTTTTGGGTTAGATGCATATGCTGCTACTGGCGTCTATGGGATTTTCTCTTTTTTATGTGCACAGCTTTTACTGTGACAGTGCAGTAGTAATGAGGTTCGTTAATAACATAACAGCCAGAATATCGACTAGTTTAGAGTTAATCAGTGGGTGGGGGCAGTCATACTTTTTGAGAAGAAGCATGGCATCTTAAAGCCATCAATGACGATAATCCCAAGAAACGGAGCTACTTAATTAGGCCTTTAGCCTCTGATCAGAGTCAAAGCATGCCTGTTGGCCCACCTTTTCATCCAGGGCCTTGTGGTGTTCAAACAGAGACTTCAGAGCTTTCAGGACCTCCACCTCGCTGGAGACTCCAGATGGCGGTGGCGCCTGTCTCTTCACCACTGTCATCCTGAGGCTGCGTTCATGACGAGACACCAGACACTCCAGGTGCTCCAACAGCAGCTACGGCACCGTAAACATACACAAAAACATTCCTTTCAAACCTTTTTGATCAGCATGACACAAATACATACTTTGCCCACACATTTGCTTGGGGACAGACATCCACATACCCTGGTGTTGTTCCTTTCAGCTTTTAGCTCCGATATTTCCTCCTCTTTCTCCAGCAGCTGCTCCCGGCATATGTTCAGCTCCTTGGTCAGAGTGGCAAACTCCTACACAGCAAACAGACAGGACACCCACACGAGGGTTAATACAGTAACCCTGATGAACACAGTGGGCACTGCTTTATTCAGACTGAGTCACATGTGGAAAAGCAGTCCAGCAGGAGTAGTAGACTAACTGTGTGAGGAGTAGTTATTGAGCAGCTGACGTTTGGGTGGATATTCATCTTGGAAAGACCAGACTGTTCTCAGGAAGAAGATCTGCTTTTATTTTTTCAATCCAGTTGCCAATAAAATGTGCTATACTTAACAAGGATAGTTTTAAAATATGATCCTGCAGCATTAGGTCTGCTTAAACATGTTAGGAAAATATCTATTGAGCCCTCAGGTTAGAAAACAACCATACGCACCAGCATCTTTAACCAGAGTAAATGTGGCATTCACTATGTGGGAAGTGATGGTCTCAGGGTAAAATACAAGTTTAAAATCTTTAGTGAATGGTTTTTAGTTTTTATGTCAAAATGTGAGGATATTGAAACGGATTTGTAAAATCAGAACCATAGACCCCAGAGGAAGGTAGTTCATCCCACAACCAGAGCATAACAGTTCAGTTCAATAGCTTTTATTTGTCCCAGTATGGGCAATTTTTGTGCAGTAGTAGTACACCTTTCACACACATGTTCACATTTTAAAAATAAAAGAAACACAAGAGACACATAAAATATTTTAAAAAGATAAAAGTAAGGTGGATAAAAGA